AGCTGATCCGTGCTGGTTGCTGAGGAAATACATCAACTTCGCGCTGTGGATCGCCGGATCGGCTTTCACCGTTTACGAAGCGGAGTCCAGCCCGGGGTCGTCACATGTGGTTCCCGCAAGCCCGCCGCCCACTCCTTCGTCGAATCCGCCGGCCGCGCCGTTCTCAAGCCCGCCGGCCGCCACTCACTCAAGCCCGCCGTGTGTGATGCTGTGTGTTTCATTGTGAAAGCGAAACGACTTTGTTTGGTCTTCCAAAAGAGGACACGACTAGAAATCAGTGGTTAAGTTGTATTTACAACACTGTTCCAGAACAGTTAAACCCACATATTCAGATGTGTGCAGCGCATTTTATGGAGGACTGTTTCCTGATCCTGTTTGAGTAGACTACAATGCCGGCTGTTCTGACTCACAGTCTGTAAGAACGTTTTCATGTTTAAAGGATTTGCCACTGATGATTCAAACGCGAGTTTTGAGCAGTGTAGAGTAGCGCTTGTTGTTTGTAATTTCTCCGATCACAAATGCAGACATGGTTTTATGTTTACGCGACGCGATGCAACGCAACGCGTAAAAAGACAGTATAAGTCATTATAATCCGTAATTATGTCCCCACTTGATGCAACAAATGCCTCATTTATAATGGGTTTTACTGGTTTTGTCTCATCCGCACCGGGACACGGCATCACAGTATGGTAAGGGGCGTAACATTTCCGTCACACACTTGAGATATTCGGCCAATCACAACGCACTGGATAGCTGGCCAATCACAGCACACCTCGCTTTTCAAACCGATGAGCTTTGTAAAAATCAACGCGTTTCAGAAAGGCGGGGCATAGAGGAGAAACAATAATATACAGTATGTGGAAAATAATGTGTTTTTTTAACCTTAAACTGCATAAACACATCCCATTACACCAAATACACAAAATAATGTTCTTTTAAGCAACATTATATGACCCCTTTAAATTGAATGTCTGCTTCATAGTATACGTTTTCAGAGCCGTGGCACAGAAGGAAGCATTTTGCTCTCAGCATTTTAGAAGCTCTGCTCACAAGGGACCCATGTTTGAATCTGGCCAAGGTCATGTCCTGAATATCCTATCTCTCTTCATCAAAATTTTACATGGTTTCTAGCTGGTCCAAGCTGTTATTTCTGGTCATTGACTGATCTAACTTAGCCAGGATCAGTTAGTCAATTCAGTGGCAATTACAAATGTCTAGAGATGTGGATCTCAACTTTTTGATTCCAGGGGTCTCCTTTGTCCAAAACAATATTTGAAGGCCCTCCTATGTAAGCTGATATGTACCCCATGTTGTATGTATGCATGTATGTATGTATGAATGAATGCTACTTTAACGACACTCTACAACAGTCTGTTAGGGGTTTTTTAATTTTTTTTTATTATTAATTAATTAAGGAAATTAATCTGTGAATTTAGCATAAAATGTCCTGGCAGAAACCTACCAGCACCTTTTCCTAGAAAAAAATTATTGCAAATTCCAGATTGACCAAATATTGGCCCATTAACTGGACTAGCCAATATATTGTT